TTCATTGAATACTTTCAGCCAACTTAAGAAATCAATTGCAGCAGCTCGATCTTCAAATTATCCACCCCAGCCTAAGTCAAGATATAAAATTATCGTTCCGGATAACCTAACTAAACAAATTCTGATGAAACTTTCTTACAATCTCTGATGTTGATTCAGACAAATTAATTAGTGTTTTTTACTCGGAGTTTTCTTAAGTTTTCTTTGTGAATCTGATTATGTTTACTCGGATGGAACATTTAAAAAGTGTTCCTTGGATATTTCATTCATTATATTCTATGATGAAAAATCAGAATCAGAATTCACATCATGAAAAATAGATTGATGATACCTATCATTTATGCTCTTTTACCTGATGCAACTACGAACACCTATCTTCGTTTACTTCTACTTATCCAAGATGCTTGTGCATCTATTGGCCTGAATTGGAACCCAGAAAAGTTATCGACTGATTTCGAAATCGCTTTTCATCGTGCATTGGCCATTATTTTTCCATCGTGTGTGATAAAATCGTGTTTATTTCCTTTTTCGCAAGCAATTTGGCGGAATGTGGCTAAACATAACCTGACTACTAGATATAAAGATAACAACGGGGATAACGCAGTTCAATCAGCAATGTAAAAAGTTTCAGCACTCCCCTTTCTTCAAGCATCAGATATATGTGATATTTTTTATGCGATAAAGGCCGAGTCACCTCAGGACGATGACATGAAACTTTTTTCAATTGTGTAGAATCGACTTATCTCAACGAGAACGCTAGATTCCCTATTTCAACCTGGAATCATTTCAATGACCCGGACCCGAGGACTAATAATCATGTAGAAGGATGGCATCATACCCTGAACCGCTCAGTTGGCCGTAATCATGCGAATATCTGGTTCTACATAGAAAAACTTTTACAACAGCAAAACAATTATGAATCGAAATTACTCATGGTGGTTTATGGAGCTTCGATTGGCGAAAGGAAAGTGAAATACGTTAAGATTGACCGGAAAATTAATTTATTAACAGAGGAATATATCAATCATAGACTTAGTGCTTTCGATTTCATTAACTTTGTCAAATATACACGCGACTGCATAATTGACCTTTTTATGCGCACTAGTTTTCAATGCATTTTTCTTATGCGCAGTTCGCTCATGTAATGCTAAAGTTGTGTTCAAAATCATGATTCAATAAAAATCAAGACTGAATTTTCATTATTTAAAAAGTTTCAATAGGATTTTTCACTACTTAAAATTTAACAGCGCCATTTAGTGAGCAAACTTTGCTCAATCAGGCTTTGCGCAAACGCAAGTTGCTCAAATTTGTTTGTCCAATTTACCCGAACTCTTTTTGTTTAGCGAAGCGTGTCCATTCTCTGATTCTTCTTTACATCGATAAGCTAAATTTTATGAAAAACTGAGCAGTCAAAGTGCGAATTAGTTATTACCAGTAAGTTCACGTATGCTTTTGGTTGTATCAATTGATGAATGTGAAGAAGCACATCGAGATGAATCTGTTGTTGAGCGAAGTAATGGCGCTGAGACATTGTGTGACTTACGAATTTTGAATATCTTGATTGGGCTTTTACTTTCTCGACTTTTCTGATCCTTTCGATAACTTTACTATTTATCCATATCAAAAGGCTGCTTAAATTATCGGATATTGAAAACCCGAACTAAGTTCCAACGATACCTCCGCCAAAAATGAGATATTCGCTCAATAGCAATTCTGGATAAACATTAAAGTACATGATTGGAGTCACTGGCTTCTCAATGAATATTAATCCAGATGTATGATTTGCCTTTTCTGAATTAATGTCACCATCAATTATGTGGTCAAAATTAAGTATTCTCGAGCAAGATTCGATCGCATTTTCTCTCACTTTATTCCAAAATCTCCGAGTACGAGACATTATTTTGGGAAGTATTGATCTTGAAAATCCACTCCTAGACATTCTTGTCGCATCGTTTGGTTTATTGAGCTATAAAGAATGTTTTTTAACACGCTACTACAGTGGATTGGCAATTTTCATGCAAATCTCTTGCCTCAATGGAACTAAGCCATTCTCTGTCAACGCCAATTACGTTCCAGGGAATCTGGGTTATGTTTGTATTTTTAGATAAACTTTTGGAATTTCGGCATACAATTTAGTGACCGAGCTGATGCACCAGTCTTTGAACAAAGTAAATACCTCATGATTACTCGTAAACCTGGTTCATTTCCACTTGTTACGATGAGTTTGGTAAAGACAGTTACGAGTTCCCTTGAGTACCCATATGAGACCAACTGTCGTCATTTCAATAGGCTGAAAGCATATCCAAATGTATGATTAAATATACACTTGGTCAAGCAACGCCTTACCTGTTTAAATCTTCGATATATAAATGGGGCGAACACCTAAGTCACCTGAGTTCTAGCGGAGACAATAAAGTTGATCCACGTAATGAAGGCCAGAAAGTCAACCAGGGCGAGTTGGATGCATTCATCAATTGTAACCAACAAGCAGAGCTACTCAATGCGAGAAGACAGATTATTTATTATAAGGAAAAATGTCGGAAATGGAACAGGAAATTGAATATGGTTCGATATTATTCAAACCTTTTTGGAAGGCAAATCTAAGTGTCCATCCAGCTCTACCTTGGGATGAATATGTTATTTTCATTGGAAGCACCGTTGGCTTCTGATTCGGTATATTAATGTATAATATTATATTTAAGATATTTTTCAGGCCAAAACCCAGATGTGTCATCTTAAAACCCAAACGAAATAACAACGAAGCTATTAGGGTCATCAATAATTCCGCGTGAAAATTATGTTGTTCAGGTCACTGCTGGCCATAAATATGATTTTGCGATAGCTGAAGGGTGATAGTACGAAGTTTTATAAAAATTCCTACTAGGGTTACTGAGATATTCCATAAAAAGGTCAAAAAAGCACACGAAAAATACAGTAATTATCCGCTTTGAATCAAGGGTTGAAATTTGAAAAAATGGCCTGTTTGGCCAAGATGAGTTGGAAATTTGTCAGAAAACTTTTTCAGCTCGTTTTGATAGGCTTGCAGGGACTTCTTTTTGCATTCAAACCTAGAAAAATTCTTTCGAAGCGAAAGTTATGGCCAATAAATACGATTTTGTCGCCCAAAGACGGAAACTTAAAAAATGGCCTGATTTTCCATATAAAATTGGTCCTGACGCCATGTCCTACCGATAGTTAGCCCTTAATGGTCTGATGACCAATTTAATGTAAACTCAAAAGAATGGTCCCTAAGCAACATAATTTTCACGCGGAATTATTGATGGCCCTAATAATGAAATGGTTGAAGATGATGACAACGCAGTAAAATGTGAAAGGTTAAAACAGAGAAGATGATTATAGCACAATTATAAATTAAACCTAAGCTTAAAGTTTTGTATTGATATTTCATTGAATTCATTGAATAAAAAACTGACTGACCATTCAACTCGTTTTCAAAATTTTATCATTTTTCGATATCACCACAACATTAAAATGATCACATTCATAACGTTCAAATACGTATGTTACAGGGTGTATATTTTAAAACACTTTGAGAGTAAAATTAATACTAAATCTTATTGGGTTTTCACTGAGATTATCAGTAACAAATGAAGTCAAAATTAGATAATGATTAACATCAACACCATCTCTTATAAATTAAATTAAACAAAAATAACGCCAAATTTAATATTATAATAAATCTGAAAAATGTCGGCCGTTTTGCTCAATACAAATTTCCAAGCGGCGATCAAAGCTATTTATAACCCTTGTTAAGGTACAATTTTCGATTTTGGATATTTCAATGGTTATAGCATTTTTTAGTTCAGTTTTGTTTTTCGGGTGGCTCTTTTTAACTAAATTATCTAAATAACCCCACAAGTAAAAATCGAGAGGATTAAGGTCAGGTGAACTCGCAGGCCATTCGAAACTCTCCCTTCGACTAATTATTCTATTATTAAAATAAACTTGTAACAGTTCGTGTTATTAGTATTGAAAACGGAAACATATAAAAGGGTGCTCTCTCTCTGATGCTAAATTGTCATTGTTTTGCATTCATTTGTTCATCAACATCAACATCAACATCAACATAAACATCAACAACATCAACATCAACAACACCATCAACACAGACAAAGTTTTTTATTCAGTTTTTACTTAGTTTTTATTTAGTTTTATTTGTTTTATACGGTATCTTTTCGCCTTTTTTTGTTTAAAACAACAAAGGTAAGTGTTTGTTTTTCATTCAATTTTTTTATTAACATCCATGTTTTTTTTCTTCACAGGATCAACAGGAGCAACAGCATTAACGCCAACAGCATCAACATCATAAACACCAGCAAAAAGGTAAGTTTTTTATATTGTATTTATTTCATATTGTATATATTTCAATAATATGAATTTTTTTCTATTCTTTTCCAGAAGCACAAACACCAACACCTAAACCAACACCACCAACACCAACAGCAACAGCTAATGTAAACGTACATGAACATGTAAAGGTAAAGTAAAGGTACCTTTACCTCTACATGTAAACGTACATTCACATGTGTAGGCAAAGGTAAGAAAGGTAAAGGTAGGAAAGGTAAAGGTAGTGGGCAAAAGGGTTAGGGAAAAAACAACTTACTTTAGATTTTGTTTTGTTCCTGATGTTGATGGTGTTGTTGATGTTGATGTTGATGAACAAGTGAATGCAAAACAATGACAATTTAGCATCAGAGGGAGCACCCCTTTTATCTGTTTCCGTTTTCAATCAAAATTAATCATTTCATACATACGAAAAAAGTTGAAACATTTGTTCAACAATGTGTAACAAAGATAATCATTTAAAATTGAACTAACAAGGGAAGTAACCTCGTTGGTACGAGCAGATCAAAATGAAAGTGGGTTTAATGGCAAGCCCGTGTCAGAAAACCCTTAAAAACATTAATCTCCCATGGAGGAAATCGATCTGAAAAAATTTACAGGGTCGCAAATTCGAAAAATAGCCATTAACCATTTACATTAAGAGAAATATACTTTAGATAATGATAACAATTTTATTTCATTTACATAAATCATGTTCCAATGTTAAAAGATTACTTGTTTGTTGTTTATCTATTCTCAACTTTTAAACCCTCAATCTTCAATCCATTAGTCTCTTCAATTTTGGTTTCACATCCCTGTTTCACCCTTTTGCCTTGTAATCTCATTCTTGATACTAGCATTGGTTATGTTTTTATCAACAAAGTTCCATTAATAATGGCTTAATATTAATATGATCGAGTATCAAATTAATTTGATCTTCTCAACAACTTTTACTCTGATCTTTTCTGATAATTCAAGAGTATTTACATGTAAGATGGATTTATTCTTAAACAGTATCTTTTATTGTTTAGTGCCTATGCCATTCACCAAATATTTGATAATAATCATTGATAAATGTCTATGCTAAATGTAAATGCTCGAATGTTGAGTCAGCAGTCTATTTAGTTGAGATAAAATGTCCAATGAAGTTAATTTCATAGATATTTAACCCTCTCATATTGTCACGTCGTGGGATTAGCATTTTGGCAAGATGTATACAAGATGCATTAAATTAGTACATGGCTTTGGATTTTGATGGGCAGGAATATTTTGGTTTAATAGCGATTATGTGATCGTTTTGACCGTCCTTTAACTTTCAAATGATCAGCAAGTTGAAAACTCTAAACATTAAAAAAGAGCTTTCCTGACTCACCAGCTCTCAAGTCAAATTGAACCTCATGTAGAGTCTGTGGAAGAATCTGAAAGCAGATTAGGTCTTCAAGTGCCAATAAAAGTGTTAAGATGCCTTCAATTTGTCTTAATTGTCCTCCCTAGTATCATCATCATCTCTTGTTAGACTATCCTGAAAAATTGATAAGAAAATGTTGATGATAATGAAAAAAACAAAAAATATTAAGCCTTTGAGCGTTTTGTAATTCATTTTTAAGATTTAAAGTACACTTGATTGTTTTAGTGATTATAAAGACTAAATAATTTATTTACAATTTGAGTGAACAACTATTAAAATAGTATTAGGTATTAATAGTGTTTATTAAAGCTTAATTTGTAATCCATATCCCAATCTTATTATTCATTTAAGCATATAATTAATGTTTACATCCTTACACCAATCCTTACAACACTATTTGCATTGAAATACAGGGTCAATGAATTGTTACAAGAAACTGGTTTGCTCGTAATTTTCAAATCTTTTTTTTGACTAATATCTGTCAAACAACTTTACTAGCAAACAATAACATCGGAAGGTGATTTTAATTACACTAAAGGGTTCACTCAAAGCAATTTTTTCTCATTCGTCGTGGCTAAGGTGTTAGAAGTTGCAGGTAAGCTAAGCTTGGAACGATTTTTGCAACATTTCTGGCCGTTATTTCAGACAAATAGAAAAATTGTTCATTTTCATTATCTGCGTAAACAAGCAAATTCTGACATTCTCCGAAGCGTCTTTTGGTGAACTATTGAATGGTGGACTGTTGCATATTTAAATCTTTAAATAGTCGAACTATGAGGATTTTACAAGAAATTGCTAGTCAGCTAATCATTAAAAACTGTAAGGTATTCAATCTATGCTTTATTTTCAGTCACTTAAGTCTTCAATTTTTATCTGGCTGCTGAATAAGGTGTTGAGTGGAGTAATGGATTCGAGAAATTATCTGAATTACGAATTGTGAATATCTTGACTGAACTTTCCCTTTCTCGACCTTTTCTGATCTTTGCATTAACTTTACTCTTTATCCACGTCAACATGCTGATTAGACGATCAAATATTGAATAACCAAACCAAGTTCCAACGATACTTCCAACAAAAATAAGATATTCGCTCAGTAACAAGTCTGGGTGAACATTATAGTACATGATTGGAGTCACTGGCTGTGGAATAAAAATCAATCCAGATAAATTAGTATCAACCAGTTCTGAACGAATTTCACCATTAATGAAGTAAGTAGTTTTATCACATTCAGGAAAGGGTATTCTTTGAGCACATTCATATATCAACGGGTCTGCATTTATAAGTCCATGTTTATCAAAAACCATATAATCTGGTAGTGAATCCCATTCGTTTATTACACTCCTAATCAAAATTCCCTTATGTAATGCGTAGTTGAGCACGCAATTGTGCAGAACCTTCATCTTGTTGTAATAACGACAGTTGGTTTCATATGGATTCGGAAGCGAATGGGAAACTTTCTTTTCGTATCGAACCCAAGTGGAAGTCAATTCATTTGGTCGTGAAGTAACCATGAAATATTTACTCAACTCATATACAGGCATATCAACTTGACTGGTGAATCTGATTCCAAAATATGAGCCCAATGAGTGGCCAATAGTTGCAATGTTTCCTTCATAAGAACCAATGATGTTCATGTTTTCAGTAATTAATGCAGCCTTTTCTGTGCAATGGATGCGAAGGAAAACGGCCAATGCACTGAAATAGCGTGTCATCTTGCACTTATCAGTTGTGAAATCTGAATTTCCGATTTGAATGTAGTCGATCTGTTCTCGAGGATCGATTGTAAGCTCTTTCACGTCCTTTAAATTGATGAAACCTGCAAGTATATAAGATGCCAAAACGGTAACTTTCTTAACTCCATGGGAACATTGACTGAAATTTTCAATTGTATAATTAACATTATTTAAGTTTACTTCTTTACATAAACTTTTCATTTGTTCAGGATAACGGATAAACAATTCAGTCAAGTTAATGCTCATAACCATCGGTATAATTATGTCAACGGTAGGCAATTCAACTTGATCAGCAAAATCATAAGTCACTTCATGGCGAACCTTATATTCTAAATATACACAAGTTATCTGATAGATTTGAATAGAACAGCCAATGAAACAGAAAAAATAAACTATCGATGATAGTTTTACTTGAATTATCTTCATCTTTGATAACCCAAACTCAAAAGTTGATTAAACAGAGAAAAGCAATAATACATTTTGAATTCTCACTGATTTCACTGATTCGATTGATTCTGCTTCATTGTCATAATGCTAATCAAATGCTTAGGAAATAAAAACAAGTAAAATACAGCGTTAATTAACCTGAAAAAGATGAAATTTTACGACCATTTCTTCTCATGATTTATCAACAATCACCTTATATTATAGGTATATTATAGCGCAAAGTTGATAACTCGAAAACTGTTGTTCAAAGCTTTACATTGTTTATTTAAAGTTTACTCGATCTACATTATTAATATTTTTTGTCAATGATGATCGAAACTATGAAATGGACAAAAACTCATTAGGATCAATAAATGTGAAGTATCGTTGAAATCAATTTCTTTAATTTCATTGATTGTCGGTGAAATAAGTTTGAGTTTGAAATTGTAAATGACGTTTCATCGTTTTTCTTGAATTTCAAAAGAAACGATTACAGAAAAATGACCAAACTTTCAATGATAATAGGCCTTTTCTGTCTAATTGGTTGCCTCTACCAAATTTACGATATAACAGAACTCTATTTACAGTTTAAAGTTCGTCGTGATGTTGCTTATGAGTATGCAACTTATATTGAAATGCCAGCTATCGATATTACAGTGCCTTTGGTTATGCATATGAATTTAAATAAATTGCTTGCTGTGTATCCTGAAGAGATGAACTCGATTTGTTCACGATTGAACATAACTGATAAAAGATTACATTATACAACCGACACGTTTTCAGTTAAATTTTATGAAACTTGTTTTGCCCATTTCAAACAAGCTCCGATCGTCTTTTCTCACGAATTGGCCAAATTTATAAAAGTAAAAGATGTTAGAGATTTTTCTTTGCTTCATCTTGCATATGATCTAAACGTCTTTATCACATCGGTTGGTCACTTTACAAAACGTGATTGTACTTCATCATTTTATTATAGTGGGGTGGCCTTTTTTGTACGCTGCTCTTTCCTCAATGGAACCAAACCTTTCTCTGTCAATACCAATTTTGTTTCATTGAATGAAGGTGTTTTATTAGTTATAGATTACGAGATTGGACCCTATTTCGGTATCCGATTTAGTGATCACAATGATTTACCAGTATATGATATGAGTAAATACTTCATGATTACTCATAAAACTGGTTTCAGCACAATTTCTTCGATAAGTTTTGTAAAGACAGTTATGAGTTCTCTCGAGTATCCATATGAGACCAACTGTCGACATTACAATAAGGCTGAAAGCATATCCAAATGCATGACTGAATATTCACTTGGTCAATCAACGCCTTACCTGATTGATACTTTGGTATATAAATGGAGTGAACACCCGGATTTTCTAAGTTTTAATCCAGGTAAAGGCCATCAACGTGTAGATGGCAAGGTAATCGGTCGGAATGATGAGCATTATACATCAATCAATTGTGCCCAACACGAAACTGCCACTGAATGTGAGAAAACAGTTTATTTGGTAGAAGGCAGATCTTGGAGTGAAGCGTTGGGCAAATCTGGTCAGATATATGTTGAACATACTTGGAAAGCAAACATATACCTAAGTGTCCATCCAGTTCTACCTTGGAGTGAATATGTTATTTTCATTGGAAGCATCCTTGGCATTTGGTTTGGTATATCAATTCATGATTATATATTCAAGTTATTGACTTACATTACAACCAGAATTTTCAAGATTAACGAAAAGCAAATGAAAACGAAAACGAAAAGAATAACAAATCAAATTGAATTTAAAATCGGTGATAATCAGCGTTCAATTTAACAAAAATCGTAACTTAGATGTGAAGGAAAAGATTCGAATCAAGACACCCAAAAGATAATGTCAAAATTGAATATTCTCAGATCACTTCAAAACATGTTCCAAATAAAATATTTATCGTAAAATATTTATAATTATAATATTATTTTGATATTTTAATTCTGGTTATTAAGGTGATGCTATAAGTCTTAGATTATCCACCTTTGATCTAAACTCCACCCATTGAAAAATGATCAGTTGGTTACAAAACAATTTTCAGCAGTTGAATGATGAACCAATGTCACTCAGCTATTTGACTGCAATATTACCTATTACATTATGTAATTGTATTTTGTTGATCTCTTTTTTGGACTGGAAAAGTCTCCTGTAGCATATTCTTAACTTTTTTGCGTTTAATGTGGTGTTGAGAGCTATCAAACTTTTTCGATCGAGCATTTAGTTTGATTAATTTTGCAATCTTTTCAAACCACCACTCGATAACGAAACCAAGCAAAAGCGTCCATTTTGACATTTCCTATTTTGAAACAATTTTTTTAGAAGAGTTTGCAGAAACGGACGACGAGAAGCAG